GTATAAAACGTGAATCATTAAAAAATGTTAAGTATATATCAAAATTTATGTGTGTGTATGCATTTGGGTATAGGGGGGAAGAAATTAAGAATTAAACTAAAAAACAAGATTCAAGGACTAGAAACAGAGTGACAAAATTAAAGAACTGCAACTTTGGAGAAGCTGGACAGCGAAGACCATTCTGCTAAGGTCTTTTTGTTTTCCCCTTTTTAAAAATTTTTGAGGCAGGCCTTGCTAAGTTTCTGAGGCTGGATCTGAACTTGGTGATCGTCCTGCTTTAACCTCCCAAGTTGCTAGGACTAAAGGAGTGCACCACCCCTCCTCTCTAACGTCGTTTTTGAGCAACAAAACGTTGAAGTGATTGTTGGTATAGGGAAAAGATGAGTGAATAACAAGACTGTTAGAGTCTGCAAACAAGTCAAAATAACACCTGGCATTTTGCCAGGGGAATGTTAGAGTTCATAAACAAGTCTGGATGGTGCCTGGCAAAATGCCAGAGGGAGTGGTTTGAGAAGTAACAAAAACAAGCCATTAAGTGTGGAGATTCCTTATTGGTTGACTGATGTATCTAGTTTATGTTAATTAGATAAGCTGTGTGGAATGTATAAATACTGCTCCTGTCCTGCAATAAACGGCTCCTACTCCTGCTGTATCAACGTACACAAGTTATTCGTCACCCCCCAGTTATTTTGCTGCAGCCGGACTGCGGCAGATGGTGGCCCGTACCGGGAGCCCCGGGACACTCAGGGGTAAGTGACGAAAAAAAAAGCTGCTCGTCCATAGATAGGACGGGAGCAAATCTGCTCATCCCTAGGCAGATAGGGCGAGAGGAAAAATGGTCATTTCAAGAAAATGGAAAAGACTGATACAGTATGTTTGTGTCTTGTTTTGTCTCAGTGTATTGTATTGTTTTTGTGCTGAAAAAATGGAAGGGGTGAAAAGTAAATTACTAAGGGAAGGAAGCACCCCAGTGGAACCAAGAATAGTTAGGGCATGTGTTGATAAGAGCCCAAGAACTCTAGTCAGAAAGAAAAAGAAAGTTCAGAAGAAGAAGGATTATCAGGAAAAAAGTTGCAGCAAAAGGCTATTACTAAATACTTTTCATTACCGGAGGGTGCGTGAAGCGGAGAGGCGGCTGCGGAGTGTGCAAGCCGGTCACAGCGCAGCAAGGATTTTCCAAGAGGCGGCAGCGACTGGCCCTTCCCCGCCTCCTGGCCGGGGAGCTAGCTCTTCCACTGCTGCGAGCCCAAATCTAGACCTGACCTGGAGGCACAGTCTCGCAGGCTCTTGCTCCCTGTGCCCAGTAGCAGTTTGAGACCGGGACTCTCCCCAGGGCCATCTGGGGCTACCCGGGACGCTACAGCCGCAGAAGACGCTACTGGTGTCCCTGATGTTTGGTCATTTTCAATGCCAATAACTAAGCTACAATGGTTCTCCCACACCTGGAAGCTGATGAGTAATGAACACTATTAATGCTTATTTCAAATGCAAAAAAAACCTTGAGATAATGTACTAAATTGTTCAGAAGGTTGTTTTCTTAGTAGAATACTACAGGATTTTCTTTAGCCATCCAGAGTTCATGCCTTCGTCCCAGTGCCAGTGAAGACGAAGGTGGAAGAATTTCCAGTGTTGCTGAGAAACGGAAGAGACTTCGGATCAAGCTAGCTGCCTGCAGAACTTACCTGGACTGTGATTTACCTGGACTGTGAGTTAATCTATTGAGACACTGCTTTACCTGGACTGAGATAACAAACTGTAATCTATAACAAATTGTAACTCGGTATCTTTGCTAACAGTGTCATTGCTGGTATAATTTTTCCAAGGGCTTCTTGCATCGAGCCATCAATTGGCTTGGTATTATGGCATTTTGTATCCTCCCTTTCTGTTTGTAGCAGGTTATTTATGGTGTTTCTGTAAAAACCACTATGGTCGTTATTTAAATTAAACAAAAGGGGGAAATGTTAGAGTCTGCAAACAAGTCAAAATAACACCTGGCATTTTGCCAGGGGAATGTTAGAGTTCATAAACAAGTCTGGATGGTGCCTGGCAAAATGCCAGAGGGAGTGGTTTGAGAAGTAACAAAAACAAGCCATTAAGTGTGGAGATTCCTTATTGGTTGACTGATGTATCTAGTTTATGTTAATTAGATAAGCTGTGTGGAATGTATAAATACTGCTCCTGTCCTGCAATAAACGGCTCCTACTCCTGCTGTATCAACGTACACAAGTTATTCGTCACCCCCCCGGTTATTTTGCTGCAGCCGGACTGCGGCACAAGACAAAGATCATGAAGCAAAAAAGCACTTCACAGTGTTGGAGGAGGCCAGTGTGGCTGTCACTGCATGGGTGACAGGGGGATGATCACACAGGGGCTGTTAAGCCACAGTGTCAGAAGCAAATGAACAGTTCTAAACAGAGGAATGGCAGAGTGATCCTTAAATGCTCTCTCCTTTTTAAATTTATTTCAGTTGTAAATGGACCTTTATTTTTATTTATTTATATGTGGTGCTAAGAATCAAACCCAGGGCCTCACACACGCTAGGCAAGTGCTCTACCCCTGAGCTACAACCCCAGCCCCTGAGACTTTTCTTAACAATCACTCAGGCACATGTGAGACAAGGGGAAAAAATAGGGAGACTATGCTGGACACTAAGGCAGAGATCCAAAAGATCAGAAAAGTGTTGGAATCTAATATGTTTTAAAGGAAAAACAGGGTTTTCTGGTGGATTATATTTAGGGAACGAGTTATAATCTGAATAACTGGATGAAAAACACTGCCCATTTACCAGGATAGGTTAGATTATAGGAAGAGCAGTTTGTTGTTTTGGTATGAAGGGTTCCATTTTAGACATGTAGAAGTTCAAGTTGTGTGTTAGATACATACTTGTAAATGTCAAATGGGGAGTTGGATACATAATTATCAGAACCCATGTGAAGGATGCGCAAGTTCATTCATCCCAAGTCATATATAAATACTGGTGCAAGAGATACCTTACTACAATATCTAGCTCAGGTATTATCAACCTTGGCACTATTGACATTTTGGATCAGGTAATTCTTGCTGTAGGGAGGTTGTCTTAATAGAATGTTTACTAACATCCTTGGCCTCTGCCCGGTGTTGATTCAAATAGTATGTCAGATGTGAAGTAGGAGCACATGAAAGTTCTTTTCCTGATTGTTTCTATTTTCTCAGTAAAATAAAAAAGCAAGAGCATCAGTTTAAAGTTTGGAGGTTTGCAGGACAAAATTTTCATTGAGGAAAGGGAACTAACTAGAAATACAGCAGGACTAGCAGGCAACTAGAGGCACACCTGAGGTTAGTGGTCATGAACATAAAGTGAGATCAATCAACTTGAGTGAGTGTTGTTTTTCTTCAGCCACAGTGACCTGCTTAATTAAAGGCAGGCAAGGTAAAGGTAGAGAATTAGATTTAATTATGGCTGGTTTTTTTCCAGGCAAATATGATGAAGAAAGAGTAAAGGAATTAAGTAGTATACACAAATCATTGACTATAATAATGAAGGACAGAATATAAGTGGGATGATAAAGAGCTTCTCCGTGCAATGGAGAAAGGAAATTAAGGTTTGGTTCCTATTTCAATATCTTATATATGCTTAGATTTGCATATGATGAAGTCCAGTCATATTCATAAAGCTAGCAGAAAATGCCTACAGATCATTAAATACATCTCTTTTGTCTTTAGGTACAAACTTAAGTGGCATATGATGGATGGTCACAATATAAAAATCAAAAAAGAATTTCAGGAAGAAAAAAGTAATGGACAACATTCAGAAATGCAACAAAACATATCTCCCAAATATAATCTGCAATCTCATTTAATATTTTTAAACTTTAATTGGTTTAAAACCTAAGGAAAAAGAGACACCAGCCTCCTCAAGAGTTATCTAAGAACCTATCCAAATAGCTCTACATATCAAACATTTCTAACATTTAAAAAATATGGTAAGGATGAAAAAAAATCCTAACAAAAAAATCCTAAGTTGTCATTTTAACTTATGTTTTCATAAGTATGTTAACAATTACAATCATCCTGATGCCATGTTTTAATGAGCTAGTAGAAGGGAAGGAAGTGCATTTTAAAATGCTTTAAAAATATAAAAATCTAAATCACTTAAGAAAAGAGCAGTATTATCCAACTCTATTAAGGAAAAGAAAAACAACCTTCCTAAACAAGCAGATCTAGGATGAAAACTTACAATTTCAGCAACCCCAATCCCAAAGATCCCACCTAAGGCAACACCTACAGCATTATGGACAGAGTGCTCTTGAGTACAGAGGTCTTGATTAGTATCAACAAATTATTCAAAGACACTGGAGCAAATTAACACAGAATCCTACTCTGGCTAGTTCAGGAATATCAACCTCACCACTACTGACATTTGTATCAATAGTAACAGCGGCTGTCCTAACTTCACAGGATGTTTATCAGTCTCTGCCCAGTAGACAATCAAAATGACACCAGATATTGACAAATATTCCCTAAGGGGCATTAACTGCCCGAAACTGAAAATCACTTAATGATGTACAATGTTTTTAAGACCTTGGGATCTCACTTAAAGTCTGGGCAAAAACCTATCTCAAATCTGTATGGCATTAGCTTTTCTACCACTGAGTGAGCCCTGGAGGTAATTCAAATACTAGGACCTGAAACAAACTTTAAAAGAAAAAATTAGAACATGTGAGTATAGCAAGGATAAAAAGCTCATGTTTGGACTGGAATCACTTCCTTGACAGATAAATGAGCTATACAGGTTTAGAGGCAATTTATTATACTGAGAGAATAGGACCAGCTCTTGAACAAAGTTAATTTACTGGTACTGACATGAATCTAAGTCTGATTCATAGGCAACAGCATGAAGTTCTCTCCCTGATGCCATTAATTCCCCATGGGTAATTAATGGAAAAAAAAAAAACTGCTGAGTGTTCCTGGGCTTCTGGTCTCCTATAACAGGTGTCAAATTTCTCCAGGTGAATGCTTACCGGTAAGGGATTGGATAAGGAATGTTGCGGTGAGGATCGTGCAACTGGTGGAACACTTCTGCCAGGGCTGGTTCCTGGCCCGCTTCCCCCAGCAAACTGGCCAACAGGGAAAAATGGATATGAATAATTCAAAACAGTACTATGCTTCAGATAGGAGAGTAAAAGATTAAAACACAAACAGGTGTTAATTATACATGGCCCCCTTAAGTCAATACATCTTATTCTAGAGAGAAAATGCCACATAAGCCAAACTCCACTATCTTTTCAACTAGATTTTTTAAGAAAGAGCTCCTACAGAAATGACTAGAAAGCTGAAAGTGTATGTGGTTTTGAAAAGACATGAGAGAAGAATGTATTCCCTTCTTATCTCAAAATACACAAAGCAGAAAAACAGTGGTGCAGTGGGTGTTAGTCTTTAATACCACTAAGGATGGGCCATGTTCCACTGGACTAAGGGAAGAGGACAAAAGAAGAGTCCAAGTCATTCCACCTTAATCTTTGAAACACACAAAACCTAGTCTGGTCAGAAGGAAAGAAAAATCACCTTATATGTGAATTCTTATATCATCACAGATAAGACACATAATAATTTTTAAAAAAACCTTAAATTTACGAAGTCAGCATCAATTTCCTCTTATTGAGAAATGGGGCAGCATTAGGTTGATGAAGACGGGGAGAAAGAGGGTGGGGAAATCATAGCAAAGGCAAAATAATTGCTTTCTAATGCTGTAAATGAACACAAGGACTTTGGTTTTCATAAAAATCACTGCAGAATTTTTTTCCCAAAAAAGTAAACTTACCTCAAAGTAATCACTAATTTTATGTCCCCTAGGAGTGCCTTTCCCTGAAAATGAAACCAAAGTAAGTACAGTTTTTCCAATGCATATGTAAACCATCATTCACCAAAATGCATTATGTATTCAGTAACCGCAAACACTGCTACCATCAACTTTATTTTATCAAATGAACCAAAATACCTGTACTCTAAGAACAGACTGTTCACTCCATACAATAAGTAACTGAACAAGGAGTGCAGGAAAGAATTTTTCACAGCTTGTTTTCCATTAAGATGCAATAATCTTCCTTTTATAAATACTAACAAAATGTGCCATAATTGGGAAATAAAACAAAACTTCATCTTTAATCCGCATCCCAATTTAAGAAAACAGAGGTTCAAACAAACTTATCACAACTACAGAGTTGATTCTATTTCACACAGAACTACATAATATTGTTATGTTGGAAGAATTTTCCTTCTTAGAGTTACAATGAATTATCTATATTTATAAAGCTAAGAATAATGCAAGAAGAGACTGTCACTCCTTAGAAAGAGAGGGGGGAAATAGCCAAACTATCTACTCTTTCTTTAATTATATAAAATATATGGCACTAAACTATCACGTTTATAAATTTATTCCAGTCTCCAACGTGCAACTAAACTAAGTAATTGGCATGGAAGAATAGCAATAAAATGAAATCACTTATGGCTACCTCTATTAACAAATCATTGATTTAATGTAAGAAATAGTTAAAACTATAATGTCACCTCCTCTCCACACAATGCATGTTAGGTCTGAAGAAAATCCTGCAGTGAGAAGATCGTTAAAGTACAACAGAGCAAACAAGAATCCCCAAAGAACTGAAGGTTTTGTCAGGTGTATATCAAATGACAAGCATATAATAAACAGCCTGATATTCCCTTAAGATACACAAACCTTCTTTGATTGGAATCCTTGGATATAAACTAATTATTTACTGTAAAATTCTTAAGTACATAAGAATTCAGAATTTTCATTGGTGTGAAAGTATTACTACCTTGGCTAGTTTCATATGGTTCAGCTTTTCTTTTCCGATTTCGCTGGTCATTCTGCTTTTTTTCAGGAGTCTGTTAAATACCATATAAGTCAAAATTAGCATTTTGGTAAATTTTTCACATTAGAAAAAATGAGAATATCACACATATAATAGAAATAGAACTGTCACAGACAATCCTCAAACAGCATCCTATCCTTAGAACAGAGGAAAAGAAAAAGTACAGGGTATAGATCCAAATCCTCTAAGCAACTTTTGGCAAAATGCTTAAAATGTCAGATCTTTAATTTATTCACCTGTAGATAAGAGTAGCTAAAAAGCTTAAATAAGATATTCTGTAAAAAGATCTGCATAATCGATAAACTGACTACAATTTATTGAAAGTTTTATCATGGTACAAAGTAGGTCCTTGCTGGCTTTGACTTACATTTATATCCATGAGACTAGGTTATGCGCCTAACTTTAAAATCCCTTCAAATTCAATTACTAGCCTGATGTGGTAGCACATACATATAAAGCCAGCAACTTCTGGGGCTGAGGAAAGAAGATCACAAGTTCAAGGCCAACCTTGGCAACTTCGTGAGATCCTGCCTCAAATTAAAAAAAAAAAAAAAATAGCTGGGCCTGGTGGCAAAAGCCTGTAATCCCAGGGACTGCAGAAGTTGAGGTAGGAGTACTATAAATTCAAAGCCAGCCTCAGCCATTCAGCAAGGCCCTAAGCAATTTAGTGAGACAGACCCTGACTCAAAATAAAAAGTAAAAAGGCCTAGGGATATGGCTCAATGATCAGGTACCCCTTGGTTCAAAACCTGGTACAATAAAATAAAATAGGCTAGGGATGGAACTCAGTGGTAGAGCACCCCTGGATTCTATCCGCAGTACTGCAAGGATAATTAGAAAATTCTATTACTAAAGTCAGCCAGTGACCAACTTACTCTGTTGAATTGCTGGCAAGTGTTAATATCCAGGTTAGGCTACATAAGCCACAACTGCAAATTTCTGCCCTTTATTGATGGTAATCATAATAAAACAAACAAAAAACAAAACAAGGCACGTACTTGATTACAGTAATAAAAACCCATCAGGGTAGGGTTGGGGTTGTGGCTCAGTGGTAGAGCGCTTGCCTAGCATGTGTGAGAGGCACTGGACTGGAGCCTCAGCACCACATAAAAAATAAATATAAAGGTATTAAAAACAAACAAACAACAACAACAAAAAAAACCCTCCTTCACGGTAACATCATAGTTGCAAATAGCAATCAACCCAAAGGGGAGCCATTCACACACACTACCACAGAGCCACTGGAGTTACATAGTGCTATCTTTTAACCCAGACTAAAAATGTAAGAATACAAAAATTCTTGCACTGAATAGATTCTTACCTCTACTTCTTTATCACTCAAGGACCCCACGCTGCATAAGCTCTGGTTGGAAGACTCACTATTGAGTGGCCCCTGGAAAGAAAAAATGTTTAAAAGAATCAAAAGAAATTTTAATTTAAGATGATAGCAAAACTAAGGAAGAAGCCTACTGATTTTGATGTCCAAGACAAGTGACAAAAGCCAAGAGTTGACTGTAACACCTCCAGAAAAATTTGAAAAGAACTCAGCTATAATACTGAGCCTTCTATGTTAAATTCCTCAGTTCTACTATTTTCATTTGCTTTACAAACTCTGTACTCATATAGAGTACATGTTCTGAAGTTATTCATTAAGAAAAATAATCATGGGAAATCAATTCCCCCAGCCTCTTGTCTCACAAGATAGTATCTGAAAGTTGCAACATTAAATATTATGCTAAGAATTCTTTGAGGGGTGGTCAGAGACCATAACAAATGAAGTTTTTCTAAGACATCCCTTACAGAGGCATGAATGCAAACTAAAAAACCAAAGTTATAGGAGACCAACTTGCATAAAACAGCATGAGCTCCACTGGACTGCTCCTCAGTGAAACTCATGAAAATTATAAAAAGATAAGTATTTAACAAGTGTTGTGGCACACATCGATAATCCCAGCTACTATAAAGGCTGAGGCAGGAGGATCCTGAGTTTGAGGTCAATCTCAGCAATTTCAGGAAGACTCTGTCTCAAAGTAAAATAAAAGGGTTGGGGATGTAGTTCAGTGGTACACCACTCCTGGGTTTGACCCCAGTACCACAAAAAAATGAAGGAGAGAGGGAAGGAGGGAAGAAAAAAGAAGGAAGAAAGAAGGGAGGACAAAAAAGAGGAGGAAGAAGAAAGGAAAATATTTTAATAGTGCTGTGAAAAATCATTCGGAAAAATAAAAGTCTGTGGTATCTGAATCAACTCTACTGCCTAAATCTCAATTTGGCTCCAGACTATTGCAGCCAAAAACACAGCCTAAAGACTTCAGGGTTTATCAATCTGAGACCCCTCTTGCTGATACTGTTCCAAACAAGTACCATCAAAGGCAGAGGACTCCCTTCTGCTCAACCCCTACTTGAAGGGCAGAGGCTCTACTATAGATACTGCAGAGAATATTGGGTAACCAAGAGCCCTTTCACTCAGCTCAGGAGACAGTGGTTCCATAACAAAAGGAAATCGAAAGGACCTCAGGACTCTAATGCCATCCAGCCACCCCACCCCTGGTACTCAGCTCCTAGGGCTGAGATATCAATCACAGAAAAGCTTATGATTATCCCCATCCATACATCCAGAAGCTTGGTTCAGATAAATTGAGCCTAAGGGATGAAGCAGGAACACACAGTATACAAAGGACTTGACTTCATTTGCAATAAAGCATGGACAAGTTTAATTTCTAAGGGTATTCTCAAGAACACACCCTGTAATCCCAGCTATAAGAAGAAACCCAAGTACAAGGCCAGCTTGGGCAACAAAGCAAGACCCCATACCAAAAAAAAAAAAGAGAAAAGAATAGTGGAAGAAGAACTGAAGGTGTGTATGTAGCTCAGTGATAGGACATTACATGTTTACTGTAAGGTCCTTGGTTCAAGCCCCAGCACCACACACACACACACACACACACACACAAAAGGAACAGCAGAGGTTGTGATAAAAGACAACTACAAGAAGATTCATGGATGTAATAAAAATCTAGACTGTAGGCTGAATAGTTTGTTACAAAGAACCAGGGTATAAGACAGCTGGGAGGAGTTCTGCTGGGGACAGAGAAAACAACTAAGAAGACCTCTGAAATTCAGAGCCATACTTTGATTGCATTCAATTAGGGGGGAATTTATGGCCAGGACATTGTTGAAAACAATGGAACACTAATCAACAAATGTTAATAAGGAGGGTACTGTCTGGACAAGTAAAGAAGAGAACCATACCAGTACTTTGGTCATTGCAGGATGATGATGACTATGGGCCTACAGAAAGGCATGCCTCCCTGAGGAACATCAGAGGCTTAATACTAGGGGATAAGGATGGAGAAGTATTAGCAGACCCTCTAGTCTACTAAATAACCCTCTAGTCACTCCCGGCTCCTCCAGCAAAACCACAGTAACAACTCAGGGGGTAGGAAAGTAATCTGTACCAAGAGTTGCTACCAAAAAAAAAAAAGAGAGAGAGAGAAAAAAAGAGTTGCTACAATACATTATCTAAAACAAAGTTTAACAACAAAAGAAATCATAAAGCAACAAAAAAATGATCCATACACACCCCACCAAAAAAAAAAAAAAAAAAAAAAATCAGACAAAGGAAACCATCATTAAAGAAATAAAGAAAGGGCTGGGGACATAGCTCAGTTGGTAGAGTGCCTGCCCTCTATGCACAAGGCCCTGGGTCAATCCCCAGCACCACAAAACAAAGAAATAAAGGAAGGTACGAGTGAACAGATGTTATAAAAAAATAACTGAACGGGAATTCCCGAGTTTAAAGAAAAATAACTGAAATTAAGGGAGGGGGGGGGAATCACGAGAGGCTCAATAGTAGAACTGAACCAATAGAAGGGCCAGTGGTGTAGCCCTATGGTAGGACATTAGGTCATGTACTTATTATTATTTCAATTCCCCAGGACCAAATACAAAGGTGGGGGGCTAGAATGGAGAAAAATAAACTGAGCATCAGAAAAATATGTAAAACTGTCAAAGAGGGGTGAGAAAGGAACTCTTCAAAAATTTATTGAAAAATAATAATCAGGTGCAGTGGCAAATGCCTGGCTGAGACAAAAGGATCAAGAGTTCAAAGCCAGCCTCATCAAAGGCGAGGCATTAAGCAAGGCAGTGAGACCCTGTCTCTAAATAAAATACAAAACAGAGTTGGAGGTGTGGCTCAGTGGTTGAGTGCCCCTGAATTCAATCCTCTACCTGCCCTGCCCCCCCCACACACACCCTAAAAAAAGAAAAAGAAAAAGAACAACCTACACAAATAGGAACCTCAACAAACATCAAGTAATATGAACACATAGAGATCTGTAAATAGATGGATCACAGAAAAAATGCTCAAAGGCAAAGACAAGGAGAAACTCTTGAAAACAGAAAAACAACATAACATACAGCAACCCAGTTAAGAATAACACCTGACTTCTAAGCAAAAACAATGTAGTTCAGAAGACAGTGGAATAAAATACTAAAAATACTCAAAGAAAAAAAATGCCAACCAAGAAACCTATCTCTTAAAAACTAAGGCAAGAGAGCTGGGGATGTAGCTCAATGGCACAGCATTTGCCTGTCACGTGTGAGGCTCTGGGTTCAATCATCAGCACCATTTAAAAAATAAACAAATTAAAGGCATGCTGTCCATCTATAACTACAATAACAAAAAAACCCAACCAAACAAACAAAAACCAACACAAAGGCAAGCTGGGTACAGTGGTGCACTCCTGTAATCCCAGCAGCCTGGAAGTCCGAGGCAAGAGAATCACAACCTGGAGGCCAGCCTGCACAACTTAGTAAGGCCCTGCCTTAAACTAAATAATTAAAAAGGGCTAAGAATGTAGTTCAGTGGTAAATGCCCTTAGGTTCAATCAATTCCCACGCACCCCCCCACCCCCACACACAAAGGGCAAAATGATTGCTTTCCCCATACATATAGGCATAGATATACACTCAAAAAGGATCAAAAATGCAAGGGCTAGAATTATAAACTTCTTAGAAAAAGACATAAAAGTAAATTTTTATGAATTTGGATTGGGCAAAAGATCCTTAGATATGACACAAAAGGCAACAACAAAAATAAATAAATAAATTGGATCTTTGGAAAACAAAGCTTTTTTTGCTTCAAAAAACACTATCAATAAAAAGAAAAAACAATCTAAAAAACGGGAGAAAATATTTGCAAACCTTCATGATAAGGAACTTCTATGCAGTTTAATAAGTCTTACAATTTATTAATAAAAAGAAAGAATTCAACTGAAAACACGGACAAAGAACCTGAACTGAACAGATATTTTTCTAAAGACAATACACAAATGGACAATAAGCACATGAAAAGATGTTCAATAACATCATCCATCAGGGAAACGTACAGCAAAATAACAAGGACCTTCCATTTCAATTGCACTAGAATGGCTAGAATCAAAAAGACAAGAAATGTTGGCAAGAATATGGGGAAAATCGGGGCTGGGCTTGTGGCAGTGGTAGAGCACTTGCCTGGCATGCGTGAGGTACTGGGTTCTATCCCCAGCACCACATAAACAAATTAAATAAACAAAATAAACGTATTATGTCCATCTACAACTAAAAAAAAAAAAAAAAAAGAATATGGGAAAAATCAGGGGGCTGGAGTTGTAGCTCAGTGGTGCAGTGTAAGGCACTGGGTTCGATCCTTAGCACCACATAAAAATAAAATAAAAGGCATTGTGTCCATATACAACTTAAAAAAATATTTTTAAAAATATGGGAAAATTAGAACCCTCATATAATGCTGCTGGGAATGTAAAATGGTATGGTACAGCTACTTTCAAAAACAGGCAGTTAGTTCCTCAAACAGTAAGAGAGAGATACAGAATTTCATTCCTAATTATTGCTCCAGAGAAATGAAAACATGCACACAAAAATGTGGACACAGGCCAGGTGCGGTGGCACACACCTGTAATCCCTGTGGCTCAGGAGGCTGAGGCAGGAGGATTGAGAGTTCAAAGACAGCCTCAGGGGCTGGGAGCTCAGTGGTAGAGCACTTGCCTAGCCAAGTGTGAGGAACTGGGTTCAATTCTCAGCACCACATATAAATGAATAAAATAAAAATAAAGCTCCATCAACATCTTAGAAAAAAAGCCAGCCTCAGCAGAAGTGAGGCACTAAGCAACGCAGTGAGACACTGTCTCTAAATAAAAAACAAAATAGGGCTGGGGGTGTTGCTCAGTGGTCAAGAGTCCCTGAGTTCAATCCCCAGTACCCACCACCACCACCACCACCCCCGCCCCAAAATGTGAACACAAGGCATAGTGGCACATGCCTATAATCCCAGCTTCTAAGGAAGCTAAGGCAAGACGATCCCAAGTTTAAGGCCAGCCTCAATTCAGCAAAACTCTA